GAGACTGCTTATCCTTCTCCAAAGGAGCAGCTGGTGGATTTGAACTGCATATCTTTGGGATTGCAGCATAGCTTCTTGCCACTAGGCCACCAGAGCTTTCTTCCCTGTACAATACTACAGTTCATATATGTCAACTCTGGGCTTCCTCCGCTCCTTTTCTTGTTGTGTATCATAGAGTCAGTCCATCTGGCACAGGAGGAGGAGATTTCTCCTCCTTCTCCAGAGGAGCATCTGGAACTAGGTTTTTTTTTTTTCATTTTCCAGATTTCACATGTATATGAATCTCTAATGGCCCAGTAGGAAGGCATTGCACTGCCAACCTGAAGGCAGGCAGTTGAGATCCACCATCTACTCCATGGGAGAAAGACAGGCAGTCTCCTCCAATGTAATTCACAGCTTTTGAAAACCCACTTGAGGGTCAACAATTAGCTGGTTCTGACTCCACTGCATGTAACAACGACAACACAAAGTGATTTTAAAAGTCAAGGAAGGCTTGGGTTCCACCAGCAGCATTGTGGGAAAAGGGTGGGCAATCTCCTCCTGTGCAATTTGGAGCCTCTGAAAAACCACAGGAGGGTCAGTTATGGGTCGGTTCCAACTCACTGGTACACAACAACAGCTCCCTACACACTAAGCCACCGGGGCTCCTAAAAGGCCAAGGCTTGGATCAGACAGACTTTAGTCATCGAAGTGAAATTTTTGCTTTTTTAAAGATTAAAGAAATCTTTTGTAGAAATATTTCTTGACTTCCATGGATATTGATTGTTAGGTAGAATGAAATTATTGGCAATTTCTCCATTAATTACAATGATCTTTCTCGGTCTAGCTTCCTAGTACCCATGCTGAAAGGACCCTTGGTTACCCTAGATTTTACATAAAGAGACTGACTTGTTAAACTTAACATTTGTGACACAACACCAGAATGAAATATTAAGTTGATCTCTATCTGATAGAAACAATTTCCTCGATAAGTGGAGTCTTCTTTCTTGGAGAATATATAGGCTGATGTAGTAGGTTAAGTGTTGGATGCTAACAAAAGATTAGCAAATCAAACACCAAAAAGCTGGATGTAGAAATTCCATATGATGCAGATATTCCACCACTTGGAATATATCCTGAGAAAATTAGAACTGAGGCACAAACAGAGACTTGTACACTACTGTTCATGGCAGTGTTATTCATCATAGCAAAACCACGGAAACAGCCCAGATGCCCAGCCACAATCAAATGGATTGAGAAATTATGGTACATTCACACAATGGAATACTACACAGCACACAGGAGCAATGATTTTGTAAATAATTTCCTAACTTTGAAGGGACTGGAGAGCATTATGCTGAGTGAGCTAACTTAGTCCCATAAGTACAAATACTGTATAAAATCATTATTTGTAGCCTTTCTACGAAGATGGCGCCGAAAGCGAAGAAGGAAGCCCCTGCCCCTTCCAAAACTGAAGCCAAAGCAAAGGCATTAAAGGCCAAGAAGGCAGTCCTGAGGGCATCCACTCCACAAAAAAAAAAAAAAAAAAAGAAGAAGATCCGCACATCACCCACCTTCAGGCAGCCTAAAACGCTGAGACTCTGAAAGCAGCCCAAATACCGAAGGAAAAGCACTCCCAGGAGAAACAAGCTTGACCACTGTGCCATCATCACATTTCCCCTGACCACTGAGTCAGCCATGAAGAAGATAGAAGATAACAGCACACTTGTGTTCATTGCAGATGTCAAGGCCAACAAGCACCAAATCAAACAAACTGTAAAGAAGCTCTATGACACTGATGCAAGGTCAACACTTTGATTAGTCCTGATGGAGAGAAGAAGGCTTATGTTTGACTAGCTCCTGACTGTGATGCTTTGGATGTTGCCAACAAAATTGGAATCATCTAAACTGAGTCTAGCTGGCTAATTCTAAATACAAATTTTTCTCACCATAAAAAACAAACAAACAGGTAGTCAAGACAGCATGGTGCTGGTACAATGACAGACACATAGATCAATGGAATAGAATTGAGAACCCGGAAATCAGCCCATCTATTTATGGGC